GTTCGGTGGTGTGGATGATGAGTAAGGAAGGGCAGTGAATACGAATGGAAGGATAGGGGTGGGTGAACACCGGTGTTTTTTGTGGGCAAGCACTGTTCAAGGATCCAGTAACTTCCTTTTTTCCTTTCCTCTAAGCATCAGAAGGAAAATAAACGCTAAACCCTGGAAAATTCGAAGCAAGCAATGCCAGGTGTGATATACTCAGGGTCAATAAAATCCCGGAGACCTTGGCAACGCAGCCACCGTTTCTGGCCGCATATAAACCAGCCCCGGCGTGTCTAGCCGACACTCAGCGCCCTGGCTTTCTCCTGATCACACAAGCAAGAGGATCAGCTCGCTCATTTATTGGACAAGGTAACCTCAGTCTACTGTCTCCGGGCTGCCGATTCCGTTATCTTGACTTTCTTTTTGTCTTCTCCGTTGACATACTTCATTTGTTTGTTATTCTATTGGGGCATGAGAAAATAAGGCAACTTATAAAAGTCCCAAAGATTGTAAATGATAACGGTATAAATATAAACGTGTTTTTTGAGTTCAACGATCGCGCGATTTTTGCCCATAGCTGCGCTTTAAGAAAAGGTATATTTCAAGAAAACATATAAAGCAGTCTTGGTTCCACATTTACGTTTTTTTTTTACATATGATTTTTTAAATGTTTTTGTTCTCTTTCATCTTATTAGTTCCATCCGTCTACATTCTTTGAAGTAAAACCATTTTTTCTTAACTGATTACATTTGTTGATGTATTCATTCTTTTCCATTGTACCTACAATCATTTTAAGAGACGTACCTGTATATAAAAATGCTCTACTCACTGAGACGGCTTTTGACTCTCCCGTTGTGATCTTTCCCGGATCATTACACGGGAACCTTGTCTTTGATATTTTGAAGGGTAGACATATTGGGTCACTTGGAGCATGTCATACAGATGCTTTTTTCTTCTGAAAACAATTACTCTAGTCATATTAGATTATACTTCTTCCCCTCTACAAATTAGCGTGACTTCTATGAGATATATTACGTTATTAATTGGCAGCATTATCCTTTTAATTAATGAAATTTCTCCTACGTTTTCAGGATGCGTGTACTCGCTACGGTGTTAGCTCTTGCAGCTGTGGCCTCTGCAGTGCCTAGGGTTCGACGTCAGGCAGAGGCAGACGTATACTGTAACAACAACAGGGACATATGTGTACCTTATTACCTGTGCAGGGACGGAATAGTTATTACAGATGGAAGCGGTCTCATCGATATTAGGTAAATTTCCTATTTTATTTTACTTGTACGGGGTAGAAGAAAATAATGATATATAATAGCCTCACACAAATAAAAATAGATACAAGTCTTGACCTGTTGCGATAGTTTATCATGACGTTCCTCTCACTCTCTTGAATCATTTTCAGAATCAAGCCTCGACTCGGCGGAAACAACACAGAGGCCACGAGGTCTGGAACCCCAGAGCCCGCGAGGTCTTCAGCCACGGAGTTTATTTCTGAGTGCCCAAGCTTCCTCGACGTCTGCTGCACCGACCCCACCCGCGAACCCCCCCCTCCTCCGAAGTATGTGGCACAGTGCGGCAGACGGAATGAAGAGGGAGTCAACGCTCGCATTGTTGATTTTCCCGTAAGTATATGTGATATTCTCATATATTATACATAAACGCTTAACTTAGAATTATGTAAAAAAAAACAAAAAAAAAAAAACCATAAATATAGACCCTTCCGTTTGAAGTGTTGTTGGTAATGCATGTTGCATTCTTCCCTTTCACTCTCGATTTCTGAAGTTAAGGTTGGGAATTTATATCTAATGTATGTCTCAAATTAAGGTTATTTTGATTAATGCATACGAAGTAATTCTTTGTGAACAATGAAGATCGATTTCTCAAGGCATTGGTGTATTTTTTTTGTGTAGCTTCTATACCTGAAGGAGTTGGCTATATATTTTTTTTCTCTAAATGGAGAGCTATTACGTGGTTATATCAAATAATCCTTATGTATATCCCTAATACAAATATACCTACATGCTTTACAATCCGTTCACCCATTGAAATACACACACACACACATTTTTAGATGTACGTACATTTGTCTCGCCAAGAATGCCCCATTACCGTTCCATGCTTCTTTCTAATTGGGGGTACTTCGACCTTCCAGGCCAACCAGGCACAGTTCGGCGAATTCCCATGGATGGCGGCGGTGCTAAGGACAGAATACTCGGAGGATAATGTGGAAGAAAAGCACTACGTCTGCGGCGGCTCCCTCATCCACCCTCAGGTTGTTCTCACAGCCGCCCACTGCGTCTACAACATCAACCCAACCACCCTTAACGTACGCCTTGGGGAATGGGACACACAGAAGGCTTATGAGCTTTACCCACACCAGGACCGCAACGTCGGCTACGTCGTCACCCATCGCGAGTTCAATCCCACCAACCTCTTCAACGATTTCGCTCTCCTTTTCCTCGAGTCCCCCGTGGAACTCGCACCTAACGTGGACACCGTCTGCCTCCCCGAACAAGGACAGACATTCGATGGGTCCTACTGCTGGGCTACTGGCTGGGGCAAGGATAAGTTCGGGAAGGAAGGAGTGTTCCAGAACGTCTTGAAGGAGGTTGAGCTCCCCGTCGTTAGCCATTACGACTGCCAGGAATCACTTCGCACAACCAGGCTTAGTAAACTTTTCAAACTGCACCCATCCTTCACCTGCGCAGGTGGCGTCGGCGGCGTCGACACATGCACAGGAGATGGAGGATCTCCCCTGGTGTGCCTGGGACTGGGTGACAGCTACGTCCAAACAGGCATCGTGGCTTGGGGCATCGGCTGTGGAGAGGACAATATTCCTGGCGTCTATGCCAACGTGCCTGCTTTCGTCAACTGGATCAAGGATAATGTAAACTCCATCCTCCTACAAGAGTTCAACAATGACAACAGCAACTATTGGTAAATAATGCGAAGCTAATATCCAGGCACTATGAACACCGTACCGATCCATCAAATCGCTTGTTCGAACTTTCACCTCGTGGCGGCAGAACCAAGAAGGCCCTGCATCAAGGTCACTGAAAAATTGTGATTTTATTTATCGTATCGTCTATTTATACCAATAAATTTTAAAAAATATTCAACAAATTTCTTACATTAACCTGCTCTCCTTACTCAAGGTAAGCCTCATAATCGATTAATGATAACCCCAAACTATCAATATCTTTAAAAGAAGTTAAAAAATATTTCCTCCTATTTAATATAAATGCATCCAGTAAAGTAGTATAACGATAATTATGGATTGTGATGAACAGCTTGAAACATATATACCTACGGCTGTTTTATCAGTCTGCTACACAAAAGGTTTCTACTCCATACTACACAAAACAAAATCAGTCAAATCGTAACCAAACTTAAACTAGGAGGCATTTTGACTCATCCTATATTATAATATGTCACCCTATACGCACAGCTTAATATTTTCAAAAAATCAAGTCACCGGAATTACTGATTCGACCTATCAAACATGATCCTATTTAGTTTATCAGAATTGGATAAGCTGTAAAACAACTGTTATTAACTCCAGTATTGCATATGGAATTGCTTCCATTGAGCAAAACTGGCAGTGTCAGGGCTTAGAAGACACGTAGCCTGGTCTTTCCTCATAGGTACCGACATCTCCAAATGCTCTCGTTGATCGAGTTCACTGACTACTGACTTCTAGGTCTGACAGCCCAAAGACATGGACTACACTACCAAGGTGTGTAAAGCTCTCTGTGACTTCAAGGCCTCACTGAATGGACTGAACATGTTCCCCTATTAGGCCTCCAAAATCTTAGATCATGGTTTTGGTCCAGGAGACCTCTAGGCCCAAGGGCCTAGAGGTCAAGTGATTCCAGAGACTCAGGATGCCAATATCGTCGGCAAGGTCACGATCGGGGACCGTGATATTGCCCAGTGTAGCTCCACATTGGCTTTGGATAGTAGCTATACCCATTATCCAATCCATGCGTGTTGAAGAGTGTTGGTGCAAGGACACAGCCTTACCTCACCCCTCAGTTAACAGGGAAGGTTGATATGACCCTCCACACTTCACAGTACTTTCAGTACCAGTATATAGGCTTGCTATTGAACCAATAATCCGTGTCAGAATTCCCCTAAGTCCCAAGATCTCCCATAGCGATTTGTGATGCACCAAGCACCCCACGACCAAACTCACATCATTCCACAATGACTTGAATCGTTAGAATGAGTTCTCTTGTGGATTTACCAGGAGTAAATCCAGACTGCTCTTAGTAGGTAGTCACGGATCTGTTTCAGAATAATGTAGGCAAAAACCTTGCCTGGTATACTGAGCAATATGGTGCCACGTTAGTTGGTACAGCCCCATCGATCTCTTCCCCTTCCAGACAGGGATGATCACTCCCCTCAATAAGTCAGGGAGAATGGAACCAGACTGCCAGATGGCAGTCAAGATCGCATGCAAACTAGGCGTCACTCTACGTGAGGTCAAATAAGAAGCACGCCGACGAGATTTTTCTCTTTCTACCTATTCCAAAACTGCACTTCGCTCAACTCATCTCCCATCTTCTTAGCATCTCCCAGTATATATTCCCTCTACCCTCAACCATGCTATATCTGCTTCCTCTCTTCCCCAGTTAAATACTTTTTATAGGGTAAATCCAGATACTTCAATCTCTGCCACTTCCCCGGTGCCTACCCTTCTCCTTCTCACTCTACCTATCGCACCAGACAATCTAAATGTTCCACTCCATCTTCTACCACAACCGCTCCTACACCCACCTCTCTCTCTGCTCCTCAGACATCTAAACCATCTCCTCCACATAACATAACATCTGTTTCTCAGACCTCCCCACCAAACTCCCTTCCAGAAACCCTTGAAGACATCCAACACTTCCTAAACATGACCCAAGAGAATGCTTCACTCCCTCATCCACTCTCCAATCCCTCTGTTCCCATCCGCACTACATTCTAAGAATTTGCCGATATCCATCCCCCTCCTCCTTTTCCTCCTACTCTCACAAAACACACCCCATTCCCTCCCCCTCCATGTGCATCACTATTCCCTCTTCCTTCCCCATTATCCTTATCACTCCCATCTAGATGCTCACATGATTCCCTTATGTCACAACAATGTCCTTCTCCGGATCCCTCTCCTCCTGACATTCTCCCTCATACTTCATCACCTTCCCATTCCCTTATTTCATTCCCTGGTTTCTTCTCCTACTTCTACAACTACCATTAATACCTGCATTACCCTTTGATTGTTTCACAATGGCTCTTTTGTAGTTTTCCTCATACAGTGTTTTTCTCCCTTCCTCAGACACATACTATCCATTTGATCTGATCGTCCTATACCTTTAACCACATCCCCAATTACAAATCCCCACTATATTCCATCTGCTCCCCATCTATATCCTTTTCACTACCAATATATCCTTTAATATAATACATCTTACCCTAATCCTTAGCGCATTTCTAACCTTTTCGCCACAATACTTTACCACACTGCTATATAACCTTTGATGACTAGCACATATATTTCCTCCAACCAATAACCAATACAAACTCTGCTGATTAGCATTTACGACTTATGATTGGCCAAGATTCCCAAAGAGCCGCCTGAAACAACAGCTGTGATTGGTCACTGAAGATTCGACGCTGTAAGTGATTTACGGCGGTGCGAGGTCACAAGGCGTCAGGAAAAATGTTTTTATACGAAGCTGAGTCCGAGATACATCTGTCGCCGCAGGACGGTAAGGCCTCTAACGTGCTAGAACTTTGAGGTTCTTTGGAGTATCTGGCCACAGAACCGTAATAAGAACTCACCTCAGTAATATTCATTTCATAATTCTTTGTTACAAAAGGTCACTTATATATGTATTTACTCCTTTAATAATGATAATGCCAACACTGATAGATAAATTAGGAAATGACGTCTAACCAATCTGATAAGTTTTGTCATGTTTCGAACGAAATCAGCATTCATTCCCGTCGCAAACAAAACATAGTTACGATACCGGCCCCAATATCAAAAGAGGGCGTGACAGAGAGCCCATGTCAGAATGACTGTAGCCCCATATCCCCGTGTTTTCAAAGAATGTCTTATCTCGTATCTTCTGGCAGAATACAGCCCATTCAAATGCGCTTAAATGACGTATATTCAGAGTAAACTGCCCATAAGGGAAGACTGTCCCCCCTAGCCCCCCCCCCCTGGTTTCCTAAATCTTCACCACAGTGTCTGCGGACAACTACTGGCCCTCGTACCGATTTCGATAATTTCTTACCTTAAAAGATGATTCTAGTTGGAGCAGGATAATCCCCTCGATATAAAGATAAACTGGAAACGCTATCCTCCATTTCCTGTTGTGATTTCCGTGATATTTTGCAAAGAACCCGAAACAATCAACCCTATACCTTTATTCACTGCCAAACGACAATGGAACTGATTTGAATTTCAACTGCCTTCTCTTAGGTTCAGTTTCCATCACTTTATTATAGATGACAGTTCTAATTGGCTATTAGACCCAGCGATGGTGTCTTTTGTTTCGTTACGGTCAATTACAATTCTAAATGCCTCATTTACTTTCGCTTTCATGCGTCATGAGCTACGATCACGTCCGATTTTGGCGCCGTTTTCTTTTTTTTTCATAGTTTATAACATGATGTTCCTGGAATATGTGAAATTTACAATCGTAGAATGTTTTATATTCTAATAGGTAGTAATGTCGGAATCCTTGTTTCGGTGTTAGAAGTCATTTCTAAGAACAATAGAAATAAATACTATCAACAGAATGATTATAATCGATAAAGTAATACCGATAAAATTTTGACCGTCGATATTGAAAATGAACAGGATACTGACATATTAGGACCTTTTGAGTTTGTCTGAGAGGTTGTAGCATAAATGTAACTTTATATTAATGACATAAATGAAGCAATAAATGCAAAAGATGCATTGAGAATTACCTACTATCTCCACTCCCGTGATCCCGAAAATAAATATAGGAATGGGTCACATAAATAGCTACGAGTGCCTAATTAGATAATAGGACAGCAAAGGCCTGCTCTTGAGTAGTGCATGGCCGTTTAAGCCAGCGGTTCCCCAGTGTTCCCATGGCATCTCACCAAGCAAATTGCATTATTTCAATTCTTGCTTATCTTATGTAATTATCATTGTCTATGTCTCTTTTTGTGCTAAAATGGAACTGAATTTGAAGTTGCTCCTAATTTATTCTAGTGTTTTAGGTGTGTTACCTTTGCATGTAACCTATATATATTTTTTCAACCATAGTAAAACAAGCAGCAGGCGACGATATAATTCTTGTGATGATAGTTTCATGTGCGGGAAGGGGGAGGGGCTGCTTAGACAGAAAAGTACCACGGAAAGTAAGTCCAGGGGGCCATCACGGAAAAACACGGACTCCGGAACACACATGTGTATCTTAGTAGAATCTCATATATCTGAACTTCATGCAAGCAGATTATTGATCCTTGACACTGTAGTACAATGACCAGTTCACCCAGGAAATAGCCATCTGTAGCTTTATTACATCCATTATTTCTGAAGTAAAATTGTGATATAATGTTGACTATGATGCTTTTCCATGCGAAAAAGGGCGTAACTAAAATAAATAATGGAAATAAATCTTATTCACTAAAGAAAATTTGTGGAAATAACTGTATCTTTTGTTTATGATATAAAAAAATACCTACTGGAAATAAGTAGCGCCAACTAATAAGAATAATTTTGCTGCTATTATTAATGGTATGAATTACGTAACGTTGCCATATTTTTGCCTTACCGGCTTTATATTTTTTAGTTATTTATATTTCATTTTATGATTATCATAATTATCTTTAATATTGCTGTTGTTATTATCATTATTGTTATTACTACTTTTATTATTATTATTATTATTTCTATTACATGGAGGTGATATTCTGTTTTTTCCTTTTATTATGTATTTGAATTGTCATATTCAATTAATATTTAACTAACAAATATCATATCATTGTACCTCCAATTACTCCCTTTCCGTCATTAGTTTAGTTCAGGGTGATTTTTAATTATTCTTCCTTAATATTGATTAATCATCTTTTTATCTGAGAAATTAAGTGTATTT